GACCCAGCTCAGAAAGCTGCCGAAATCATTCCCAGATGCTCTTCGGTGGAGACCTTCGTCAGCCTTGTGACCGCCTTTTTGGTCGCCCTACGGATGCGCCTTCATCGCCTGAGGAATAGATCCAAGATGTCCAGGCCCGGTTTGAAATGATGAAATGATGCACCGTTGCGCACGAAAGCGAGTCAACTTGGCGACGGAGGAAGGGAAGACCAGATACAACACGAGAGCTACTGGACATAGATTCAACAGAGGAGACAATGTGTGGTTGTGGAATCCGACTCGACGGAAAGGACTCTGTCCGAAATTACAGTCATCTTGAGATGGTCTGTACACAGTCCTAAACAGGCTGAATGACGTCGTGGTTCGGATCCGTAAGTCTTCGAACTCTAAGCCTAAAGTCGTTCATTACTATGGCCATAGTACGTAATGTAAATAATTGTAAATAGTGTAAGACCATGGTCTTTTTTGTTTCTAAATGTGTATTTAGTATTTGATTTGTATTTGAAAGCCTTTTATTTGTTTTATTTATTGCATTTATTGTTCATGTTGTTTTTCTAAATGTGTATTTAGTATTTGATAGCCTTTGATTTGTTTTATTTATTGCATTTATTGTTCATGTTGTTTTTCTAAATGTGTATTTAGTATTTGATAGCCTTTGATTTGTTTTATTTATTGCATTTATTTTTCATGTTGTTTATTATTGTAATATAATGCTTATTATTGCATTTATGCCACAGTTGTAAGTTTGGCTTCCTGTCCAGGGATTGCACTGCCCGGGACGTGGCAGTCCTTGGGAAGGGGGCAGTGTTACGGATTTGGTATTTAAATAGCTTATGTTAGTTGAATTGCAAATTAAATGGTTTTATTTCCCGCGCAGTGCAGCGCGTGACGAATATTTAAGGAAAGCTAAGCCGGAAAATTGAAAATACAAGAGCTCGTGCATTTAACATTTAATAAATATCTCTTTTTCATTTCGAGAAAGTTCCAGAAAGTTCTCGCGCGCGATTTAAAAATCTTATAAAAAGGAGGAAAACTTCTCAATTTAGTTAGTCGGTTATTTTAGTTAGCTTGTTGTTGTGTTAAGAGTTTGGTTAGAAAAGTGTTCATGCTTGTAGCGAATTCGCGTATTAGCTTTCTTTAGCTGTTTTGAATTAACTTCTGTTGAACGTTTGAGTAGTTAAGATAACTACTGTGAGATATTGTAATACTCTAAGAATATCTGAGGAAATTTTTGTTGGTTTTCTCACTTTACAGATAGTGTCTAAAGTTATAATAGTTATGAAATCTTCTGTCTGCAGAGGAATTTACTAACATTTCTAAAACAGGATTTTGAAAATTTTTTCTTCTTTTCATAAACCATAATACTGTTTCTGGTCGTCATTACGGTAGAGAATATTTTACTTAAATGTTTCATAGTTAAGACACAATAACACGCCAAATAATAAGCCTGTTTGGGGCTTCTATAATTAAGACACAATAACACGCCGAATAAATACTAATTCAGAAGTCAAACAACAAAAATCAGCGTTATATTTACAAAATTTTCACAGGACTAGTTTCGATGGTTTTACCGAACCACCATCCTCAGCTGTAAAACCGCAAATGGTTGACTTCTGAATTAGTGTTTCGTAGTTGTAAAATGTGATTCTGAAATGAATTTTTTGAAAACAATCAATATATATCTTCATAATAGAAATTAAAATAGCTAAAACTAAAAGTCATTTACAGTATATGAGTATGAAAGCCATCGAAATATCTGTGACAGACGCATAAAATTTAAATCAAGTAAAATAGTAGAATTAGTCATGGTAACAGAATATAATTCAAATAGATTCGTAAAATAGGTAGGGATTAGTTAGGGATTTTAATGAATAATCAACAACATACGTCAAATAAAATGCTTAATTTCGTTACGTTCAAGTAAGTTAAAATGTGAAAAAATTATGTAGAACAAAATAATGCAGTAAAATAAATAAGGTATTTTAAACAGAAAATATAATAGATAACTTAAAACTAAGAGCATATAGAAAACTAGAAATGTAGAAAAGTTAAAAATAACGTTCAAAATTAAATAAAGATCATGTATGTGGTCAGGAAATATAATAAATAGGTTAAAAATTAGAATATGTTGAAAATTACAAAGGTTAAATTCCATGAAAGACGTTAAAACTACTTTTCAAATTAAATAACAGCATATATTTGATTAAAAAGCATAACAAATTAATTGTAAATTTAGAATATGTTAAAAATTGCAAACGTTAAAAAGAACGAAAGAAGTTCAAAGTAACATGTAAGTATAAATACTATAAGAAATATAAGTGCATATTTGAGTAATTTAGATCGAAATATATACGAAACGAGTTAAAATTAGAATATGTTGAAAATTTTGAAGGTTAAAAAGGGCAGAACAAGATAAAAATTACGAAAGCTAAAATACAGGAATGAAGTTAAACATTAAAATTAAAATTAAATAATGCAATAGGTATAAACACGTATTTGAATAATTAAGTTCGTACAAATGGGTCGAAAAGCATTTACACCCTCTAACCATTTTTTGACCTCTTTTCTATATTTTACCTCAAGCAGCATGATTTAAGACATCCAAACCTGCATAACTTGCAACTTGTTCCGGATCTTGACACGTTTTCTTCATTATAACAGGAGATACGATTATTAGACACTATATAAGTTATTTCTCCGGCCTTCTTCGCATGCCTTCGCGGTGTGGTGGTCAGCACGCTCAGCGCGTAATTAAGAGGTCCGCGGTTCGATTCCCGGCGAAGACGTTGCTAATTTTTCATCTTGCATGCTTCCGAAATACTTAATGTCTCTACAGTGGCGCGCGAAGTAAAAGGGTGGTGGATGATGAATCTCCACACCCAGATTTGGCGATTAGGTCCCTTAAAAACCTCAGTCGCCCTTTAAAAGGGGGAGTATCTAAGGTATGGTATTTCTCCCGCTTTCTTAGCATGTCTTCATGGTGTGGTAATCTGGACGCTCAGCGTGTAATTGAGAGGTCCGCGGTTAGATTCTCGGCAAAGGAGTTGCTAATTTTTCATCTTGCCTGCTTCCAAAATACCTAATATCTCTACAACTATAATATGAATCGTCATGATCACGGCAACGTATTATTTATAGTTTTCTAGAAATATAATTTAAAATCATGCAAATACTTGGATTCCCTGAATAAAATCTACATATATTAGACAAAATAAATCACATATTAATTATCACATATAAACTAATAACACATCCAAGCTTCCTTAGTGACGTCATCTTAACTAAATTATGAACCATAAAACACTACCCCTTATTAGTTAGCTGCGCCTGCCGTCACATCGTCGCTCCCTGTGCGAGTTTCTCTTGCGAACTTGCTCCACCTGCGAGTTTGAAATAGTACTGTGGCTGAACCCTTCGTTTCATACTACTCATAGCCATGTAAAAGGTTAAATAAAATATTTCATTAATTGGAATCATTAAAAAACAGAACAAATATATTTTTAGTAAGCAACATAAGTTTCCAAAAACATTTCTTGGAGAAAAATGTTCGGCAAAATTTTCAACAGGAAATATCCTCACAAAATAATTTTAAAAAGTGCGCATAAATTTTAAACAAAATCAAGCATTTATTCTGTGCCGACTTAGGTAATATATGGTGTCAAACACATCTTTCATTAATTAAAGAATGGTGCAAATGTTCATAAAATTACTAATTGATCATCTTATAAATTATATCATTAAATGTAAATTATATCAATCAAATATATTATTTAAAAAAAACATAAATGTTTAAGGAAGACCTTTATTGTTTTAAAATCGTTCAGTTTGTAAAGCAATTACAGTTACACTTTGAAAGGTAAATAAAATATGCTATAACAGGACTCTGAGGACTTATTTTTTTCCAGGTTAGGAAGAATTTAAAGATTTTATATCTCTAGGAATGGAATCATTTGCTAGGCTAAGTGGATGATAAATGCCCTGTTAGCATTACCTAACGTATCGTAGCAGTCCAAAATATTGGTAAGACTCCAATGTGGACATTTCTAACGTGAAAATTCTTAATAATATATACTGTTTGTTTGCTGACTGAAGAACTTCAAAAAACTAGAATTAGGTAAAGTTTATAAAATTTAATAATTTAAGACTCATTCATTTATTACTTTGCTAAAAGTAAATACCTGCATTTATTTAATATAAAATTAGTTAATTGAAAACCTGAAATGCCATACTTTTTACAATGCTCAGCTATAGCACAAACTTAAATTACTGACATTAACATGCACGTGAATACACTGAGAGCTTCTAAGAAGCATAATAGTTTTTTAGCTCTGTAAGAACCTAACCTTCACTCTAAATTTATGATCTTTTTAAAAATCCCAGCTGATTTAACATTTTAAAAACAGTATTTCTACTCCCCAAAGTAATTTATATATGATTGTGAAAAATATAATATTAATAATAATGTAATTTCCAATATTATATTCATTGACAATTTGAAAGTATAAGGGTATATACGAAGAAAAGTGCTGTCAATACGAGACTTTAAGAAGTAAATAACAATATAATTTTAGTAATTTGCATTTAATAGTTTAGTTTTAGTAATTTAATACTCGAAAATCGAATACAAAGTGGCTAAGTTTTCAACATAAGAAGACATAAAGAATGAGGTCCAATTATTATTATTATTATTTTTATGTGATATAATAACAAAATCTCTAATGTATAATTATTTTTTAGCGTTTCAATCAATAATTGCCTTTATTTTCCTTTAATCTAATATCATAAAGCAACTTGCATCATTTGTCAACTTTCATGTCAAATTTAATTTTTATGCATTCTGGGGCCATTAACATTTATATGTATATGTATTCAAATTTAATTTTTATGCATTCCGGGCCCATAAACATTTATATATATAAAACCTGTCATTATCCTGGCAGTATTTAATAATAAAACTACAAAGGGAATATACACAACTATTTGAAAGGTTGATATTGTACCTCCAACTCTTGAAACACGAAAAATTGTTTCGGCAAGAAAACGCCCTCATACAGAGAGAAACGAAAAGCGCAAAACAGCGCACAACGCAACAGTTATGACATCAAGCTCCGCCTGTCATTCTTCCCTTCTAAAACTACTCACCAGTCAGAAATCGCGCATGAAGCAGAGAAGTAGAAGCACACGTTTCGTCACGTCACTTGGACAGAAGCAGCCGAAACGCACGTGCACGGAAATTGTGCAGCCGTTATTGTGCCAACTTGAGATTGCGCAATCGAGTCCGAACCATAGTTTTAGCTTAGTGGAGTGCAGTTTTTTTACTTATTTATAATTCGTTCGTATTACCGCTGAAGTTAACTTGACTACCAGACTTTAAATTTCTTTTCTCTCTATTTTTTTGTGGGTTAGAACTTTAAGGTTACGCATGTATTTTAAAATTAAAGACTTGCTTATGATCCATTCCTTCTACAGAGACTCATTCTGTTTGTTGATGTCTTGGTTAATATTTTCATCGTGTCAGTTTATTTCTGTTTCCTAATAAACTTCAGCGTAGAGGATTTATTCCTCATCATGAAAGTATACAAGTTCAAAAATTATGCTTCGTAAATCTCAGGTATGTATTGCTTTCCTCTTGTTAGAAGTACTAAAATATTTAATGCAGTTTCTTAATTTCAAGTTTTTAGTAGATATATGTGTAAACCAGTGTTATGTTAAGCATGATAAAAACTAATTTTAAAATTATATTATCTGAGATTAGGCTATCTTACAATGATATTATGAATGACATTATTACAAATGATATTAAAGTAACTTGTGTATTTTGCAGACTTTTTGAAATGACCAGATTTCTTGTTTGTTTTTTAGCGTACATAGATATGTATATTATATGATGTCTATGACAAATACGAATATCCATGAATTAAATATATGAAGTATATAACCATAAAAATATATCTATGTCTTTTCATTGATTTTATCTTTGGGGGCACAAGGGAAAGATTGCATCCAAATACAATATCATAATAAATGAAAATTCTTGTAATGTGTGTGGATATGTTACAGAAGTAAGTAGCAAAAAGTTATGAAATAAGTAGTGAAAAATGATGGCCTAGAAGTGTTTTTAACTGCTTAAAATTTTTCAGTAACAAATGAACAGAATATTTTTATTTGCATTAAGTAATAATTAATCTCGTACTAAATGGCTTTTTGCATATGAAAAGCTCCCAAAAGAGAAAAGAAATTTATTGTACTCTTCTTCATGGCAATAAACATACAATTCATAATGTTTTACTTCATATTTATTAATTTCTTTTATGTAATATTTCATTTAAAAATATATAAAATTTTACTAGCTATCTTTAGATTGAGGATTATCAATACACTTTTGTACTGTTAAGTATACTATTGTAGTTCCCAGTATTGTTAAGCTGTGTAGGTCTTAAATGGTGAGGGATAGTGTATCTATAAACTAGGAAGATTATCGCTGTATTCTGAACTCAGTATTTCGAATAAAGCCTAATAAAAAATTATGGCTTTAAAAAAAAGTATCTTTAACCAATTTTTCCAGCATCTTTGAGAGATAGAGATAAATAGCGAATGGGTTGTTGTATTTTCATAGCTCTAGTAGAAATTTTAATTATGAATTCAACAAGTCTTTCGTTTTTAATCAGTACAGTGTCAAAATCAGAACATACCCGAAATCAATTTTTTTTTTTTTTTAAATTGGTTTACCAGGTCACTTTTAAGTATAGCACATTCACAATGATTATTTAATCTTCTGTGCTTCTATACAGTGTAATTTTATAGTTGTATGTGCTGTTTATATATATATATATCAAATATGCAAATATATATATATATGTTTACCTCCAGTATTATATATGTATATTATCAAAAGTGCATGTATACATGCATCTCTCAAATTGATCTGCTACATGATTTTGAAAAGCAAGTATATGTGTAAAGTTATGGGTATGTTTAATAAGAAACATTCGGTGCTTTCTGCCATAACTATTCAAAACATTAGTTGCACTCTTAGTATTCTTTTTACCTTTCCATTTATCAGTTATATAATTTTTAGTGGAATATATTTGTTCTTGATAGGTTTCATTTCTAGAAGGAATGTCATCAACAAATCAATGGTGTGTGCCTGATGAAGTGCATGATGTTTTGTCCGTTGATTTTGATCGTAGTTTGTCAGGCTTGGAAGCTGACCTTTGCACTTCGTCAAATAACATGAGGTATGTAAAAATAGTATGCCTCCCTTAAGTTTCATAAGAGTGAAACATGTGTAAAGTGCAAAATCGCCCACTTATTTGGCGTGTTATGTTTCGCGCTTTTTACAAGAGTAAGAATTGAATTTTTGTCAATTTTCTTTGACTTTTTAAGTGAAAATACATCAATGTGTACATGGAGAAAGTCAAGGGAGGTCGCAATGCCGAATTTGTGCAATTCTCTGATGTTTTTTTAAGTGAAAATTGGTCGATGTGTACATAGATACCAAGTTTGTGCAATTCTTAAAAACATGCCAAGCAGTGGGTGATTCTGCGCTTTCCCCATGAAACATCACATTTTCAGTTATGCTATATTTATTAAAATTATGCTATGCTGTTACTATGTTATTTCAATTATACAATATTACGGTATTATTTAGTTCAATTATACTATGTTAGCATTGCAGACTATACTATGTTAGTCTATTATGTTATACTATGTTAGTTCAATTATACTATGTTAGCATTGCAGACTATGTAAAATATATTTATATTCTGAAACAAAACATAATTTGAAACTTACCATCCAAATCTTTTTATTTGTTCATTTAAATAATTCTATTTTATTTTATAAGATAGTTAAAAATTATTTAAAATCTTTATATTCTAGCTCCTCAGTATTTGCTGTGCCTGAAATTTCTGCTCGTAAAGAAGATGCAAGGGGCAGGTAAATAAAATTTCCAAATTTATATTTTAAGTTTTGTGATGAAAATCGGTTAATCTTCAGATTATGGTAACTTGGCGACCAACCCTGCTACAGCAACCTGCTAGTTTTTTTTTTTTTTTTTTTTTTTTTTTGACGCCATTTTGTTTTTACGAAGTAAAGGCATTTTTTTCCAACAATCTGCTTGCCGAATTACGCTTATGCTAGAACTTTTATGGTGCTTAATCATGATGAAAATTAGGTGCGAAATTGGGAGAAAGTGCAAAATCGCCCACTGCTTGCCACGTTTTTAGGAATTGCACGTACACGGTGTCATCCATGTCCACGTCGACCTATTTTCACTTAAAAAAACCCCCAGAATTGCACAAAAATGGCATTGCACACACTCTTGACTTTATCCATGTACACTGCTAAAGTCCTAGCTAGTAACCTTTATCGCCTTACCAAAATGTCACCAAACTACCTGTTACCATATTCCAAAGATTAGCCTGAAAATCTTATGTATTTTTTTATTTTGTTGTTTTTGGTATAAATATTTTCCTTTTTTTATTTATACTTTTTTCTTTTTTGGAATGTAGGTTAAAACAGTTTTGTTAATAAGTAACAGCTTTAACAGAATTTTATATTATATTAGATGGGCCTGAAATGTTGAGCAATACTGCTAAAAGTTAATAACAGTGTTCAGAAATATTTAGCATTTCCAGAAAATTTGCTTATTTAAAATACATAAATATTTTGTATTGGTATTATGCAAAAGTATTTCAAAGCTGTTGAATAATGTACCAAAAACATCTGTTACTAGAATTTTATCTGTCAGGAAATCAAATTCAGCCTGTGTGTTTAAAAAATCCTATATAGCACATATTGTTTTAATCAAGGCATGTAACCAATAGGGAGCGATAAAAACTTTAACTAAGTACTTGCACTTTATCTTGAAAAACAAATATCAAATTCTAATTATAGATTTTACTTTTTACAAAAATAGGCAGTACAAATACTTGTGCATTAACAATAAAGCATTTTAAAAGGAAAAGACATCTTTATAATAATTAAAAAAAATTAATATCGCAGAAATTATGTAAAACAAATCATGCTAGATTAATTATGTGTGACAGTTTGTACTCCCTATAGCACTTATTGAATTAACATATGGGAATATGTTATTTTATTTTTCTTTCACATTGATTTTCTAGGAGGTTCTGAGGCAGAATGATGATTTTTTAAGAAATATTTTATATAAGGCTTATTATTTAAGAAAAAGTTGTCATTAAATCTGAAAGATGTTGCATAATCAAAGATGATCTTGTGGAAATACTGTTTATGGATCTGAAAGCTCATTCAGCTTCAGCACTGCTAGCAGTAGACTCTATAATGACTTAGCTTTTCAGCACTATTCAAAATTTCGTTTTCATATACAATTTTTCCTGTTAAAGCCATCTTAGTGAAATCCTGAAAATAATAAATTTTTATTTCTTGCTTTAATATCAAAATTATTGTGTCCTTTTTTCTGTTTTTGATCATGAACATGTTACCTCTTGCACATTTAGGTTCAATGACCTTGATTCAAATTTTAATTTCGCAATAACTATTTATTGACATCTCTTAACAAAAAAAAAGAGGGGGACTTTATATTATTATCTTGATGTTAAATAATCTAATATCCAGTCACAAATTTATTGCAAACAAGTAGTACTTTCCAGGACTTGCTTAAATTTTAAATTATGTGCTACAAGTTTGACTGAAAGTGGATGAGATCCTTATTCCCAGAAAGAAAAGGGTAACAAAGGCCGACTTACAAAGCCAAAGTAAGCTTATGTCATGCAAGACATCTGTTTTTCTCAGAATGAATAAACAAGCAAATGAAAAGAAGAAAAGACTTGCAAATGAAAGATAAATTTAACAAAGGGCTCACTTGAACCCCTATAGCTCACCACTACTTGATTATAATTATACTCGCACTGATAATTATACTTGCACGGATTATAAATATATAATTAAATAATGCATAATAATTGATAAAAGAGCACCGAAGTGACCAACGTATTAAGTGATGCAGTGGAAACTACAATGTATTTTAATATCATATTAATGCCTAAATGTTTTAAAATAGAATGTCTAACTATATTTTAATGTAAAGTAACATATATTCTGCAAAGCGGTTAATGTAATAATAATTTATAAAATATTATAAAAGTTTTATAATTCAAAGGGCTGATAAAAACTAGTTGTAAGTTGCTTATGTGTACTGTGCACATCCTAAACTTCTTCAAGGAAAATTTTGATAAAAGCTCTGCAAGATAATTTCTCCATTCATACTTTAGCAAACGTAAGTTTTATTCAAATGTAATTAAAGTTTATACATATTAATTTACAATTGTATGAAGATTCAAAATAGAGACCCCCTGATCCTATAAGTTATCATTGTTTTCATGCATATGTTAATACCATTTGATTTGGGTAGCCGCAAATAAGTATGAGATAATGTTGATATTTAAAATGAAAGATGTTATATTTGTTGTAAATTCTTGCTTTTACTGTGTATAAAAATCTGTATTAAAATTATTTTTGTTTTATCATAATTTTGTATTTAAATTATGTCTCTTTATTAATTTTTTAAAATCATTTCATGTTGATTTACTTAGTTAAAAATTTTACAGCTTGGCTTCCTCTGCTGTTGATACATTTCGCTGTCTCCAAGATCTGTCTGGAGACATTGCAAGGTTTGTTTTTATTTAAAATGGCATTCTGATACTTACACTAACACATTTTTCTCTTTCTTCCAAAAAGTAAATACAGAAACTGTATAGATGTCAAACCAGATTTAAAACTGAAGGTGGTGTCTTTTGCAGATCTGAAAGATCTAGTTCACGAAAAGCACTGTTACACTTCTCATTAAAAACGTTTTTTATTGTTTTACATTTTTGTATGTATTTTTCTTACACTCACGATAAGGGAAAAATATTTTAAGATTAACGTTTGTTTAAATTGCCAGTAAACCATAAAAATTTTTACTAGGTCATGAAACATAATTTGGGAAACCCTGCATTACACGATTCTTTGGATTACTGTTATTTTTTTTGGGGGGGAGGCTTAAATTTACTCTTACTAAAATTAGAGTTGATAATTATCTTCAAAGACAAATGTCTATTTGGTTTTCTACTTTGAAAAGCAGTCTAGCATATAAAAATTAATTTCTGTACATTAAACATGTGTTTTCCTGGATCCAGAGAAAGAGCAATAAGAGTTACTCTTTAATCTTTATATTAAAAATTAAATTCACAAATTTATTTGAAATTACTTTTTTTCAATATAAAAACTATCCTGCTACTTTTAAAAAGGTACAAGTACCTAGTTTTGGCTCATGAAATTTCTGAATGTCTTGGATGTTTGGCCACACAATTAAAATAATTACTTTTCATTTGACAACTGGTAGCTGAAGATTTAATTAAGAGATTGTTACCAGTGAGAACTTGAGAATGTAACTAGTTTTAGCGCAGAAGAGGAAATCGCAAAATTAAGACTTGAAAAGTTATTTACTTAATTTTTTTAAATATATGTATGTTTATTTTGTCTGTGTGTGTATATATATATTAAAAATTATACCAAAATTAGAATATGCACTAATTATTAATTTTTCCTCGCATTTTAGCAACCTGCATGGATCTGCAAAGTGTCAAATAGAATGTTACCCATTTAGCCTTGTACATGGAAAGAAGATCCGTTATTCTCAGCTTACTGATATTGATTGTACGAATAGTGTCAAACGTTTTTGTTTCAACAAAGAACTGGAGCATTCTGAAAATTTCCAAACATCCAGGTAATTAATGACCTTCATGTAAATACATGTGCAAGAATAAAGTAGTAATACAAAAAAGGGGGGAAGAAGGAATCCAAACACAAGCATTTACATATATAATGATGCACTGCGCATTGTCTTGTGGCTCACTTTTTGAAGTTGCTATTGCCAAATACATGATCTTATTTCTCCTAAGAATAAAATTGATATATGTGGTACTATTCAGTTTTTGAGGGCCATAAAAAATTGCCAAACTATTGTTGATGCCAGTGCCGGCAAAAATAATTGCGGCAACACTAATGCAAGAAAGGAAATGTACAGTAAATAACTATCTAAGATTGATGTTTTAATTAGATGAAAGGTTAATTTCATATAATACTTTTTTATTGTTATAATTTATATAAAAAAAGGCTAAACATGACTGAATGGAAGCATAAGAGTAAATAACTATTTCAGATCATTATTATAATTCATATAAAATTTGCTAAACATAACTGAATGGATGCCTGTATCGCTATTTCGCTACCGAGTTATCGCTAAAGCATAGTTTCATCTCGTTGGTTGTTCAAACATAATTTTCTATAATGATGCCTTTTCTTTGAAAAAAATCTCGTTAAAGTGCAGAATCACTCACTTCTTTGTTTGCCTCTTTTTACAAGGGTGAAAACAATTGGATTTTTGTCAATTTTCTTTTACTTTTTCAGTGAAAATAAGTCGATGTGTACATAGATAAAGTCAAGGGTGTGCGCAGTGCCATTTTTGTGCAATTCTGAGATTTTGTTTTTAAGTGAAAATAGGTCGATGTGTACATGGATACGGAGTATGTGCAATTCTTAAAAACGCGTTAAGCAGTGGGTGATTCTGCACTTTACCCAAAATTCTATTGCAGACTTTTCTTCATGGGCAATTCCCAAATTGTTAAATCCATAGTATATCAAAAAAGGATTTAAAAATTAAACTAGTATTTCAATGGTGTCTTCAGAAATATAGAACTATATAAACTTATGCAATCTGAAATCGGCGTGTATACTAGATTTGGCGGGCTGTTAAATGGACGCGTTTGCTAGATTTGGTGCTTTTGCTCATACATTTTCATGGCAATTTTTTTACGGTCCTCAAAACCAAATAGTGCCATATATTTTTTAACCTGATAGTTCAAATAACTGTTTTTCCCCTCTTTTTTTTAACGAAATACACTGTTCATCAAAATTAAGGGATAATTTTAAAAATATGTTGTCTAGTTTCAACCATTCTTCAATGGTGTAGGTATTTATATTAATTATGAATACACTGAATGCAAAATTGGAGCATTGCATGTATTGCATGAAATATATAAATTAGGCTACTGATTAATGTGTTGTGCAATGAATGCATGTTGTATTCAGAAGTGTAATGCATCATTTGATTGAAGGGCAAAAGTGATGATTAATTGGTAGACTCAAGAGGGGCAAACACAAATGAAAGTCTCTTAAGATCTGAATATCGCTCAAGTACCATATCAAGAACTTGGATTAGCTTTTCAAGTAATGAATCAGGCCTTTAGTGGTAAAGTTTCTGAACACTGGTAGTTTAGTTTGGTGTTTAAAACCTGACAAGTGGGCTGGCAGGCTGTAAGGTTGGTTTTCCTGCATGAGTAACATGGATCTGAGCAGTTTCCTCTAAAAAGTCCCCATAAAGGCATTCCTCTTAGGCAGATATCGCTTGAGTGCTTTGCCGCAATGAGATAAATAAACCAAATAAAAAAGTAATGAATCAATTAGTAGACCACTTGATCAAGTGTCCAAGAGCAATCCAAAGACCGTTTTCTTACATTATCAGTGAAAGAAAATGTGAAGTAAGTACAAGAGTGTTGACATTAGGCAAAAAGCTTAGTTTACTTGCTTACTTGGTCTGGCATAAATTTTGTTTTGCCTAATTTTAAATTTTACGTTGATGATTTTCCTTCCAATACATTTATGCGTTTTGCTTGCTGATGCAAGAGAGTTGGCTGTAGACCTTCTGGCTGTCACAGGAGCTTGAATCAGACATTCTGTTGCTACAGAAAGGTTTCACAAGGGTGACTTTATACGAGGAAACCCATGTGTTGTATCCCTTCCACTTCATCTTCGAGAGAGGCTGTTTTAAGTAATAAACTTCTTATTCCTGATTTGCATTCTTTTTTTTAAATATGTATGCTAAAATCAAGAAATATGTATGTATAATATTTTTTAAACTGCTGAAAATTTGTGTTTTCATGAGATTTAAAAGAATAAATTTAAATTGTGTTTCACATATTATATTCCATTATAATTTTATTTTAATTTTTATAACGGCTATTTCATTATAATTTTTCCATTTAAATTAAAATGCTATTCTTGTCACATTCAGTAGAGCTAAAAGGAGTGGGTTTGTTTTGTTTAAAGAAGTGTTCAGATGTAGCCTGAAGTGTAATTTTAGACATGTTTTGATGGGGAAGAGCGAGGAACATGCAACCTGCATTCCTTTGTCAGGAAAGATCCCATTTTCACTACAGGAGCAGTTTCATAATTTGGGGCAGGACCATCCAAAATAGCCATACAGAGCTGCATTTCTTTAATAGAGACTTGTGAATGTATGCCAATGCACAGATATGTAGATGAGGTATTGGAAATCCATTAAGGCTGTTTAGAGGTATTTTGGGATCTAATTTTTGTTGATGGGTGACAGTGCTCATTTACATAAAGCATCTTTGGCATCAGAATGCTTGAAAACAGAAGCTATCACTAGAATGAGTAGGCCAGCTTGCTTCCCAAATTTGAACTCAGTTTTGCATGTGGCAGTTGAACCTTAGACTGTGAATTGATGCATGTCTTGTGCCTCCCTGCACCCTTTAGGATTTGAAAAATGCAGCTGTTGGAAGAGTGACATATAACTCCACAAGGTCTTGGTCAGATGTTTGGTTGATTTTATAAAATAAAGATACGAAGTTTTCATTTTTATGAGAGGTGATCCATGCACCATATTAAAAAATTTGTTACAAAATAAAGATCATATTTCTATCATTTTTAAATTTTCATAATTCATACTTTAAATTCAATATTTTGAGATTAATTGATTGTCAAACATGGTTATTTACATTAACCCTCTGAGAGCATGGGTTTTTGGATCTGTCATGAAGACCTGTATCTGTGCAGCATTTATTAGCTAAATTTATATAATTACTTATTTTAGCCTCTGTTTTCATAAACTTATATTCATTAATATTACATTTATATTATTAAAGAAAGTAAGAAAGCAAAATATCTGAAGTTATAAGCTAATCTATATATCAAGTAACAAAAAATCTTATGAGAAGCAGTCATGCCACTCAGAGGGTTAAATAATGTTATAATGCTTTTGTACAAACTGTTTTTAATTATTTTCCAATAAGAAACAGCTAAGTGTTTTTCCGATTACTATTCTTTAATTTTGACTAAGAGTTTAATTGCAGCTTTGTGTGTTTTGAGTTAATATGTTTCTGAACTTACTGTTGTGTTCATTAAATAGTAATGCTGCACTACAGCAAAAAATGGGAATGCTTGTGTAGTTATGCTTTTTAATTTTTCACTTTTTCCTTTTCTTTAGAATTTTTCTTAGAATTCTGTAAAATTTACCTTTCTTTTTGTTTTTTAAATATTAATGTAGTTGTTTTGGAAAATTAAATGATGATAAGCTTCTTTTCGTGTATTTTGGTTTGCCTTCTGATTATTTATATATTTTTTAATTTACATTTTTTGTGTGTGGGGATGCTACAATCAAGAAATATGTATGTTTAATAGTTTTAAACTGCTGAAAATTTCTTTTCGTGAAATTTAAAAGAACAAAAGGAAATCATGTATAAGCATTATGTTTCGTTATAGTTTTAATTTAATTGTTTATAGTAGCTTTTCCCATTATAGTTTTTCAGTTTAAAATAAAGCCTATGCAGCAACATAAAAGAATAAACTGGTCCATAGGGAATTTGTTGTTTGGAACTTCTTTAATTTTTCAATGACTATTAAAGTGTAAATGCTTTATCACAGATTTTCAAATAATCTCCAGTTTCAGCATCTTACTTTCTCACAAAAACTTTTGTCCATGATAATTCGCTGGCAGCTGTTAGTCAACGACGGTTCTGAAAACAACACATGCAGCCGACACCACATTTAGCTGACAGCACTTGCATTTAGACAAAGACATGCAACAATGTATTAGTGAAATTTTTCATATTTATCTGACAACTATAAAATTTTTCTCTCTCGATTATGAAATTGCTCTGTTCTCTGTAAGTTCATTCTCACCTGTCAATAAAATTTACTGTTCTGTAAATTCTTAAAAATTCCATCCCTGATTTTAATTCTTATGGAATTTTTCACGTATCACAGTGTGATTTGACATATATCAACCAAACTGAAAAAAGTTCTGAAATTTCTTGTTAAGGAACATGAATCGTATGCTCAAAAAGAAGAAATAGACTTTTGATAGCTAATTACAATTGGACACTTAATAATAGTTTTGAACTGTGGGTCAGCAAAAGTTATCCATGCATCTTCTTTAGTTAGTAAATTCAATTTCTTTAAACGTTTTCACATTAACAAAATATTATTTCTTTAGTTAAATGCATTAATTTTCCAATACTTTCCTCACCCAATTCCACTACATTTGTTTTTGATTTGCTTCACATGTTGGTTCCATATAAAATTTTATTTTTTCCATTACTAAAATTTTCTTTGAGTAAATATTGTATATAGTATTTTGCATGTTATCCCAGTCCATTGCCTATTCCAGTGGTTGCCATATTCATGCATCTATTAGCATGGTGTAGAAGGAAACTTCAGGTTAGGGTAAGAGGATTTCTTTTTCTCCCAGTGATGTAATTAACATGCTCCTGGGCACATTCAAAAAAGAACTGGTAGTGGCATGTCATTAAAAATGGGGAGATGCAAGCATTATTTTGGCTGCAGATTGTGGCATTGTAGATAGTTATATGAAATATGGATATTATGTGTTGCTAGGTTTGTACTACCTACAGCTCTTAGATGCTG